TCTCAATGACAAGGATATATTGCACAAGATGTTTTTCATTTTATAAAATGCAGTTTTTGCCTGCCCAATTCTGTTTCTTATTTCAGTTATGCATCTTCCAACTGATGTTATCCATGTGCCCAGAACTTAAATTTCTGTACTTGTCCTAAAATAACACCATTGACTTTTATTGCACATTTAGGAATAATTTGTTTCTTTGATACCACCATTACTTCTGTCTTCCCATTATTCAAACTGAGGCCCATTCTTCCACTTTCTAATACCACAATGTCTATCATTTCCTGTAATTCTTTCTGACTTGTTGCTATCAAGACCGTGTCATCAGCATAACGTAAATTGTTTATATTGTGCCCACCAACCACAATTCCGGGCATACCAATTATATATTTACTGTATATTGAAAACAAATCAGGTGACAGAACACATCCTTGTCGTACGCCCCTCTTTATGCTTTGAAATGTACCTAAACAGTTGTTTATTCTTATAGCTGCTGTTTGCTGCCTATACATATTCTTTATTATTCGTAGACTTTTCCTATCAATGTTTAATTTTTCTAACAGCTTCATGCTTCACACAGTCAAATGCTTTTGTATAGTCTATGAAGCATAAGTACAAATCAGTCTTTACTTCTATAGCTCTTTCTGACAATGTCCTTAGGATGTAAATGGCATTGTTTGTACCTTTTCCTTCTACAAATCCACATTGTTCATCGCTGATTTCTGGTTTAATTTTGTTTCTTATTCTTCTCATAATTATTCTCAGTAAAATCTTAGTCATGTGACTCATAAGACTTATTGTGCGATGGTCTTCACATTTTAAAGTGCCTGGTTTCTTTGGCAGAGCTATAAATATGGATTTTAAAAGGTCATTTGAAATATCTTTAAAAGTTTAGTTATTTCAATTCCAAAATTTCCCAGTGCTTCGGTTTCTTCCAGTGAGATGTTGTCTGGCCCGGGTGCTTTTCCTTTCTTCATATGATGTATTGCATCCTCAACTTCTGCAGTCATTATTGGTGGACCATCATTGTTGGTCTACAGTTCTCCATCTGGTTTATTATCATCATACAATTCCCCGATATACTCTGTCCATCTGTTAATTATATTACTGTGTCCCATTAATAAGTCACCATCTTTTGATTTCAAACATCCAGTGCTGTTACAGACAATAGTTTTGGTGAATCACAGACCAGTGTGTGGAACCACAGACAATTGTCTGGAAACACAGACAATTGTGTGGAAACACAGACAATTGTGTGGAAACATAGACCAGTGTGTGGAACCACAGACCAGTGTGTGGAAAATATAGACCAGTGTGTGGAACCACAGACCAGTGTGTGGAAACGGAGACCAGTGTGTGGAAACGGAGACCAGTGTGTGGAAACGGAGACCAGTGTGTGGAAACGGAGACCAGTATGTGAAAACGCAGAGAATTGTGTGGAAACACAGACCATTGTGTGAAAACACAGACAAATATGTGGAAACACAGACAATTGTGTGGAAACACAGACCAGTGTGTGGAAACACAGACAATTGTGTGGAAACACAGACCAGTGTGTGGAAACACAGACAAATATGTGGAAACACAGACCATTGTGTGTAAACACACACCGTTGCGTGGAAACAATGAACAGTGTGTGGAGACTGAAATTCTTAGGAAAGTACAAGAGACATTCAGAGTTTGGGGTTAAAGTCCATATGAGTGAGCTATATTGATGCATGGGTGGCTGGGTGTGTGCAGATGTGTAGATGGGTGGCTCGGTGTGTGCAGATGTGTAGATGGGTGGCTCGGTGTGTGCAGATGTGTAGATGGGTGGCTCGGTGTGTGCAGATGTGTAGATGGGTGGCTCGGTGTGTGTAGATGTGTAGATGGGTGGCTCGGTGTGTGCAGATGTGTAGATGGGTGGCTCGGTGTGTGCAGATGTGTAGATGGGTGGCTCGGTGTGTGCAGATGTGTAGATGGGTGCATCGGGTGTGTGGGACATGGGAAGTGAGTGAGTAAATGAGTGAGACAGGGAAGGGGCTAGAGAAAGAGAGTAAATAACAAGCAAGAAGAAAACAGTTTTTTTGAAAGAGAAGTGGGAGGAGGAGTAGGAGAAGAAGACAAAGAAGAAGCAGAAGAAGAAGAAAAAGAAGAAGCAGAAGAAGAAGAAGAAGAAGAAGAAGAAGAAGAAGAAAAAGAGAGAAGAAGAAGAAGAAAAAGAGGATGAAGAAGAAGAAAGAAGTAAGAAGAAGAAGAAGAAGAAGAAATTAAGTAAAAGAAGAAGAAGAAGAAGAAGTAGAAGAAGAAGAAGAAGAAGAAGAAGAAGAAGAAGAAGAAGAAGAAGAAGAAGAAGAAGAAGAAGAAGAAGAAGAAGAAGAAGAAGAAGAAGAAGAAAAGGAAGAAGAAGAAGAAGAAGAAGAAGAAGAAGAAGAAGAAGAAGAAGAAGAAGAAGAAGAAGAAGAAGAAGAAGAAGAAGAAGAAGAAGAAAAGGAAGAAGAAGACGAAAGAGGACAACGAGGAGAAAAGAGGAAAAAGAACTGATAATGATGAAAGATAAAGAGACGAGAGTGGGGATGGAAAATAATGAGGAAGAGAAGGAGTAGAAGAAGCAGAAAAAGAGAACAAATAGCAGTTGCAACAGCAATATGTGCTTGAGTCTACGGAGAATCGCGATGTAAGTTTTAGAGTACAGAACCGAGCATTTGGTAAAACAAAAAACAAAAAACAAAAACACGTTTGTGGATCGGTCTGGGATGAGATGGGGGATTAGTAAAACTGCGAGAAAGCCACAAACAGAGTGTCCAGATTTGGCACTGTCGGTAAATTCCTAGCGTCGACCGTTACCAGGACAGATCGATGGTCTGCCTGCTCCAGTGAGCTCCTGTGGTTGGGGTGGTAGTTATACTGCCAAAGGCCGGTTTGTTCCACTCGGTTATTGCTGGGTTTTCTTGGCTAATGACACGGAGGACAAAAGCATCGGTTCAGTCATCAATATTCCACATTCTACCCTGTCCTTGTCCGTGATTGGTAGGGATGTTGGGAAGAGGAAGATTACTGGCGTAACTTATCTAGTTATTATCTTCACGCCCTTTCCTACTTTTCCGTACTTCTCGTATTCCACATACGATGATTTCTGTCAATTCTTTGGAATGTTTTTCAACTTTTCCTTTGTGTCAGTTTTGGTTTGTTAGCATTCGTTCGTGTACGTTTGTAATTTTTCTACTTATTCTTAACGGTGATGATTATGTACATTGTCGTCATCATCATCATCATCATCATCATCATCATTATTTGTCATCATCCTCATAATAATATTTCTTCTTCTTCTTCTTCTTCTTCTTCTTCTTCTTCTTCTTCTTCTTCTTCTTCTTCTTCTTCTTCTTCTTCTTCTTCTTCTTCTTCTTCTTCTTCTTCTTATTCCTCTTCTTCTTCTTTTTCTTCTTTTTATTCTTTTTCTTCCTCTTTTTCTTCTTCTTCTTTTTCTTCCTCTTTTTTTCTTCCTCTTCTTCTTCTTCTTCTTCTTCTTCTTCTTCTTCTTCTTCTTCTTCTTCTTCTTCTTCTTCTTCTTCTTCTTCTTCTTCTTCTTCTTCTTCTTCTTCTTCTTCTTCTTCTTCTTCTTCTTCTTCTTCTTCTTCTTCTTCTTCTTCTTCTTCTTCTTCTTCTTCTTCTTCTTCTTCTTTACACGCAACCAAAAAGTCATACCATTTTATCCCTACAGAAAAGACAAGCACACCTGACAAACATCCCCCACTAAACCCCCCTCCCTCTCCCCCCCCCCTTCCTCTCCCCCCTCCCTCCCCAGAACAGAAATTAAAGTCATATTTTAAACAAGAACAAAACATCAACTTTAGGAATTCACTGTAAACATCCCAGCCCTCCTTAAATGCATCCATCTTGTACAAACATCCTGTCCCCGATATGGGCATCACCAGAAAGTTGTACCTCACAGCTCCCTCCAGAAAAGATGCCGAATTTTATCGCATTACCGATTCCATCGTTGGACAAAATTCCTTTGAATCTGAAGTCAAATTGCCATCGATCGGACGTTGTGCCTCTCATCAAGCCATTTCCTAGGACCGAACTGCGAATCAATTTGAAAACCAGTCACCAAGGAAAAAATGGAATCTGACAGTTGAGGCTTCAGGGCGGGTGGCATAACTAGAATGTTGCTGGGACAAAAGTAGAATGTTGGTTGCAAAACTGGAATTACGGTGGGGGGAAAAAGTAGAATGATGGTCGACAATCGATAATGTTATGGACAAAACTAAAATTACATGAAGAAAACTAGAATGTTTTGGGAGCGATAGAAAGTTGGTCAAAAAAAAAAAAAAAAAAAAAAACTAGAGTGAAGGATGGGGGAAAGGAGAAGGTGTCAACTAGAATGATAGTGTGAAAACTAAAATGAGGGTTGCGGAAGAAAAGGTGGGGGGGGGGGGGGGGGGGGGGGGGGGGGGGAGGATGTTGCCTTTGCTTTGTTTGTGCAAATGTATTTATGTGATATGCTTATTTATTTCTATGTTTGGTTATTTATATATATGTTTCTTTGTATGGGGACTATATCTCTGTTTCTATGTTTGGTTATTTATATATATGTCTCTTTGTATGGGGACTATATCTCTGTTTCTATGTTTGGTTATTTATATATATGTCTATTTGTATGGGGACTATATCTCTGTTTCTATGTTTGGTTATTTATATATATGTCTCTTTGTATGGGGACTATATCTCTGTTTCTATGTTTGGTTATTTATATATATGTCTCTTTGTATGGGGACTATATCTCTGTTTCTATGTTACTGAAAGTATATCTCTGTTTCTATGTTACTGAAAGTATATCTCCGTTTCTATGTTTGGGAAAGTACATCTCTGTTTCTATGTTTGGGAAAGAATACCTATGTTTCTATGTTTAGGTGAGTATGAAGCATACGTCTGTTTCTATTTTTGCTAAACTATATTCCTGTTTCCTTGTTTGCGATGCTATATCTCGGTTTCTATGTTTGGGAAAGTATATCTCTGTTTCTATGTTTAGGAAAGCATATCTCTATTTCTATGCTTGGAAAAGTATATCTCTGTTTCAATGTTTGGGAAAAAATATCCCTGTTTCTGCATCTGTGCAGTGCTTCCATGGCTATGCAGTATATCCCGATCTTTTTGTGTCTACGTCAGTACAGTTGAACCTCTCTCTCTCTCTCTCCCTCTCTCTCTCGCTGTTTTATATATATATATATATATATATATATATATATATATATATATATATATATATATATATATATATATATAAATATATTTAGGCATGCCACCGGAGCATCGGAGTTTATGCCTTGTGCGACGCTTTCTGTGAGTCAAACAGCCGTTCCGCGAAAAGAGTCCGAACCCTTTAGGGAATAATATCTGTCGCATTTAAGTCGAACCTCTGGACTTTTGACGCCTTTTAACCCGATCCGACGTGAAAATCTTACACTATATACCCCACGTTATTGAAGATACTTTAGATTCGTTCTATTATTGGCAATTTTGTTCGTTTCTTTGTATTCAGATGAAGAATTTGTTTCCTATTTATACTTTGTCTGACAGAGCATTGCCATAATCTAGTTGTGGAGTAGCTATAACAACTATGGAGCCATAACTGTTAGGGGTGGAGCCATTGAGACGAGAAATGTCTAGTGTTGCTTGCGGTAAACTTCGCACCGTTGCCCACGGAATCGATAACTTCAAACACCATTAGTAAGGTTTCTAGTTGTGGCGCTTGCTGTACCCAGTCAAGTGTGAAATAACTCCAGTTAAATCAAAACTTGCGTGGCTAGGAGCTCAAGGCGACAGGCTGTCCATTCCAGAATCAATGAAGCGCGAGAAATCACACAACGATGCCGGAAACGCTATGCAGCGATCGGTTGAGTCTCTATTGTACCTGACATCAAGGTTAGCGTGTGACCTCTGTTACCATGGCATTGAGTGACGCCTGCTTATTGTGAAGAGGAAAAGTAAATCAAACTGAACGAAACAATTAATGTTTTAAGGGCAAGTTTTCAGGTCAGGTTAGCACAGGTACATGTAATGGACATTCTGACAAGGGCGTTGAATAATACAGAGCAATTGCAAGTGCCATATTTATCATCATCATCGTCATCATGATCATGATCATCATAATCATCATCATAATCATCATCATCATCATCATCATTATCATCATTATCATCATTATCATCATTATCATCACCATCAAGTGCCTTGATGACTGGCGTGGGCGATCATACCTCTCCACAATCTGCAATCTTTGACAGCATGTATCACTTCATATTTTGTCTCCTTGTGGGCTCCAGGGCCCTATTGTGGGGGGGGGGGGGGGAAACAAGGACAGACTTACTGCTTACCCAAAAAGAATCTCGTAAGAGTTGACTAATGTGGGAGCTTTCATTGAAGTCGGAGTGCATCTGCCTGAGAGGCATGAAACCAACAGTCTGCATTCAAGTGAATCAGGTCTGTTAAACTGATGCATAAAAGCCTTATCACAGGTAGAGGTAATCCAGCCTCAAAATGTGACGTGGTAAAGGTGGCGGTGGCGATAACATACAAAATTAAAATAAATCATGTGCCGTCTCCACAAAAAAGAGGTTTACTAGAGAGTACCACTTGTCTTTGGGAATATTACTTGCTGAGGCTCTAATCTCTTCCACGGTACGACGCTCATACCAGTCCCAAAAACATGTGAACGGTTTCAAAGCAATAAACCGGCCTCTGCAGAAATTTAACCCAGTACTCGAAGATCATAAAATTGTTAAACGTGATCACTAATCTATAAGCTATACATTAACATAATATAATAATAATGACAACAACATAATGATGTTACTATCGCATGAACATCTCCCGTGTCATATTTTAACTTCACTCTCCAGTTGTCTTTTTCGTTCTTCGGTTAGTCAATCTTTATTCCGTTGACCCTGATAGTTTCAGCACATAGACATTCAAATTACAGCCGATTAATTCTCCTCTGTCGCAGTTACATATTCATGAATTCATCCCATCTCTCAGCTATTGTGTATTCTTCAAATTAGCATGCAACCTCTACGATTTAAAACGTTCGGCGTATAATTGCTTTTGTCTGCATGTCTGATCACTGATTTGTCTCTGTAAGTTTTTGTATCTATAATTAAAATTAATTCAATTTAATTTCTCTGCTGGTGTCACCATTTTTGTATGTTTAAATTGTGGCCTTACGCATTTATCTTTAATTCCTTTACTTATCTCCTTCACTGTCTCTTTGCTATTTTAACTTTGTTGTCTACAGCCTATAAATGATAGAATTACTAGTGTAATTTCTACATTTCTTCTTGACATTTGTCTGTCGTTCAGTAAAATCTCTTGACTGGTTTGATGAACGTCATTTGTCAGCATTTGTCATTTTTTATTATTACTCCCCGGACATGGGGAGAGGGAAGAAAGAACAGAACCACTAGCCAGAACAAGTATGACATAGGAGGCGACTAATTCAGTGTGTTTTTTTCTTCACAATCGGAGTACATCTGCCTGAGAGGCAAGGAACCAACAGTCTGCATTATTAAAAGCCAAATCTGTCAAACGGATGTGCATGCAAATGTAAAGTTCTATAACAAAATCAAAGTCCAGAAGTGAACGAACAGCCAGACATTTCCGCCAGAGTTTACATTCGGTGAATTCGAAAAAAAAAAATAAATAAACAAAGCTTTTCATTTTAGTTTTTTTTTTTCAATTTCTAAGGATAACTTATCTGCTTCCTGAATTTCTGTATCTCATGAAAATATTTTTGAAGTGAAATGTGAGTATCTCCGTTGCTCTGTTTTTAATCTTTCTTTTTATTTATACTATTTCCAGAGGCAGATCTGGTTCCAGAGATGTAGACAGGAAAGAAGTTGGGACGTAACCAGCATTAAACAACATCAAACGACAGATCGAATGGTTTGGTCATGTATCAAGACTATCATGAGATAGTGCCCCACAGCGAACCCTGTTCCTTAAACAATCTGGAAGCAGCTCTAGAGGTTGATCATAGATACGATGGATGGATGGAATATCCCAGGCCGTAGATACCAGCATCTGTGTAGCACATACCAGGCCTCGCGCCCGACGCTGTTTCAAAACCTGTCGCTGAAAGACAGTACAGGACTAGAGCAGGAAAGTGAAGAAAAAGCAGAGAAGAAGAAGAAGAAGAAGAAGAAGAAGAAGAAGAAGAAGAAGAAGAAGAAGAAGAAGAAGAAGAAGAAGAAGAAGAAGAAGAAGAAGAAGAAGAAGAAGAAGAAGAAGAAGAAGAAGAAGAAGAAGAAGAAGAAGAAGAAGAAGAAGAAGAAGAAGAAGAAGAAGAAGAAGAAGAAGAAGAAGAAGAAGAAGAAGAAGAAGAAGAAGAAGAAGAAAAAGAAGAAGAAGAAGAAGAAGAAGAAAAAGAAGAAGAACAAGAACAAGAAGAAAAAGAAGAAGAAGAAGAAGAAGAAGAAGAAGAAGAAGAAGAAGAAGAAAAAGAAGAAGAAGAAGAAGAAGAAGAAGAAGAAGAAGAAGAAGAAGAAGAAGAAGAAGAAGAAGAAGAAGAAGAAGACAGTAAAACTTCATTAACACAAATACCAAGAGAACAAAATACAATATTTCGTGATAAAACATTCTTGCTAACAATGGACATAATAAAACATCCCTGCTTGCAAAAGCGTTTTCTCCATGTTAAAGGGAAGTGCGTTTAGGCCAGTGGTTTCAGCGAAGTCGTGTTACCGAGGATTTACTGCATATTAAAAAAACAAAACAAAACAATCTTTATAAAATAAAAAAAATAACATAAACAATACATTGCTCATGGTATATTACCTGTATCTAGCCAGGTGAGTTTAATAAACATTAGTAAAGCACTAAAATTGAATATATTCCACTAAAATGCGAACGGTCACTCACGATACATCCTGTTCGTCAAGTAGCCGGAAGATCTTTGCAGTCACGTGACCTCACAGGATACCTTCAGATTGACTGTGAAGTCCTTCTGGTTTCTTGAGCCACTAGTGCACCAGGTATAGGGTCATAAATTCATATTTGTTTAGACCAGCCGGTACTCACTCCAATCATTTCTTGGACCCACTTTAGTATGGGTCAACTGTAAAAAAGGTAATTAAACCCATGGGTACTAGCCTGATGCCGTCACATGTGACTTTGTCAGCATGCAAGATCGTCGGCTCACACAGAAAATAATCATTTATAGTAAGATAGAAGAAGGTAGACCCTCTCATGGGAGTTCAGAAGAACGCGTCAAGGACACACTACAATTATCATTTAAAGCCTTTAATATAAACGCCGACACACACACACACACACACACACACATACTCAGACACACCCCCCCACACACACACACACACACGCACTCACACACACACTCACATAAACACACATACACAAACACTCACATACACATATTCACACACACACACGCACACACACACACACTTACACACACACTCACACACACATACTCAGACACACACACACTCACACACACACTCACACACACACAAGCACATACACACTCACACACACACATACCCACAAACACATACCCACACACACACATACCCACACACCCCCACACACACACACACACACACACCAGTGGAACAGAAATACATGGCGAAATTCTCTCCGAAGAGGTGGAGCGACTTGCGAGGCATCGTAGTGAGTGATTTTCTCCTTGTTAATTATTGTTCGTATTTGTAATGAAGTAAAATGCTAAACATAAATAATGTGCTTGAATTTGGTTGAATGGTATCGAGTACTTTATATAAAGCGTGCATGTTGGCTGAAGCTTGCCGTAGTAGAGGAAGCGTGAATCGTGTGTCGAATGTTCGAGAACGCAAGAGATGATCTCAGCTGGAAATGATCTAAAAGAGTCAGTCTTGTTTTCGATCCTGGGACAGTGTGTCTGACGGCGCTGGAAGAGTGAAAGAGAAGTAAGTCGACAAGCAAATAAATATCTAATCAAGTGTTGACTGCGAGTCCTTAAAAAACCTGGCCATCTTGTTACGACTTCTACAGTCGCTAAATATTTGTTTGTTTGCTGTCAGTGCGGGTGGTTGCAAATCTTGAAGTGACCTCGGTGGAAGGGGTTTGGTTCGTCATCTTCTTTAAGGTACGGTTGCATTCATTCAGGCTGTTGTGTCTGGTCGATATTGTCGTCCCTAGACGTGTTTTCTACCGCCA